TAACACCAAAGTCTGTTCCACTCTGGGATTCCTGTTCCAGGAGATAAGAGATTTTCTAACTGTTTAAGTAGGTTTAAGATGGGTTTCTCTTACTTGCAACTTGCATTAAGTTATCTATTGCTACAGAACAAATTTCCTCAAAACTTAGAGGCTTAAAACAGTACGTATTATCTTACAGTTTCTGTGGGTCTGGAATCTGGGCATAGTTTAGCTGCGTACCTCTGACTCGAGGCCTCTCACAAGGCTGCAATCAAGGTGTTGATCAGGGCTATGGTCTCAACTCTGGGCTCCACTGAGGGAAGATCTGCTTTCAGGCTCAGTTCTCACGGTCCGTGGACTGAGGGCCTCAGTTCCTCACTGGCTGTGGGCTGGGGGCCCCCTCAGTTCTTTGTCACGTACATCCGTCCACAGAGAAGCTCCCAACATGGCAGCTGGCTTTCCTCAGGGTGAGAGAGGGTGCCCAAGATGGAAGTCACAGTCTTTTCTTTTTTTTTTAACATACATGACCTTATTTTTTTTGTGTGAGGAAGATTAGCCCTGAGCTAACATCCATGCCAATCCTCCTCTTTTTTTTTTGCTGAGGAAGACCGGCTCTGAGCTAACATCTACTGTCAATCCTCCTCCTTTTTTTTCCCCAAAGCCCCAGTAGATAGTTGTATGTCATAGTTGCACATCCTTCTAGTTGCTGTATGTGGGACGCGGCCTCAGCATGGCCGGAGAAGCGGTGCCTCGGTGCGCGCCCAGGACCCGAACCCAGGCCGCCAGTAGTGGAGCCTGCGCACTTAACCACTAAGCCACGGGGCCTGCCGGCCACAGTCTTTTCTTAACCTAATCTCAGACGTGACAGGTGACATCCACTACTTCTACTATATTCTATGCATTAGATGTGAGTGACTAAATCTAGCCCATGTTCAAGGGGAGGGGATTGCACAAGGGGGTGAACACAGGAGGTAAGGATCACTGGGAGCCACTTTAGAGTCACCTACCACACAAGTGAAGGCCTCCCAACAGGCCAGGCCAAGAAACAACTGAAGAAGAAAGAAGCAAAGGTAGAGATGCTGAACACTGAGATATTCACATCCTTCTCAAGGATAATTGGAACAGGTCTTTGATGCGATGTTGACTCTATTGAGAGTACCCCACAGACCTCAAACGCTAGCACTAGATGCTCTTTAGTTTGGAAAACACCTCAGTTTAATGAGGCTGAATGGAATAGCATATACCATTGTAATTTGATACTCACAATTCACAGCGAGACAACGCCTTGTATATTCCTTTACTCAATATATGCCATGTGTCAGACACCATGTTCAAGAGTGGATACAAATATGAACAAGACATTACAGCTCCAAGTTGCCTCCGCTAGTAAGCTAGCGGAGGAGGCACATGCAGGTGTGTGTAATACAGTATGGTGAGTAAAGGATAAACGCCTAGAGGAATTCGGACTGAAGGAGTGGTGGGCATGCCAAAGATGGGTTCTGGAGATGGCAGCGGGGTGTGCACAGAGAACTCCACCCCGCTGACTGTGGCTACAGTACGCAGAGAGCTCACGTCAATCTGATATCCAGGCGGGGACCACCTAGGGTGAGCTGGAGAACGGGCCGTGGATAGGTGGCCTCTTACAGCCAAATACTCATGTTAGCAGATGGTCATTTTCTTTCTTCTGAATACAAACCATACATTGGTTCAGAAACAGTTCAGGAGTCCAGATAAATGTGGCACTGATCTGGAACATATGGTATTCTCCATTTTGCCTTTGTTTCAGGTAAAAGTGGTTTTAATGACCATGAGTCAAGGAATGGTAACACTTGAAGCATGAAAACGGAGAAGGAGGGGTTTGTTTTTGGGTAAGGGCCCGAGGCCAAGCTAGCTCTCAGTTCACCTGGCAGAAGGCTGATGGTGAAAGGGACAACTGGCGTCAGTAAAGGGGAATACCATCTAAGCCATCAGGACGGGGACTGCACCAAGATCCCAAAGAGGACAGGGTCTTGGATAAGGGAACGGCTGGACTGGAAAGTTCTGAAGTGAGAGAAATCAAGATAAGGGTGGGGATGAGGAGTGCCCATTTCAAGTCTTCTTATCACCTTCTCACATCTGTGTACAAATCCATTATCTATTAGCTTTTTAATTCTTTTTATCTTATGAAGCTTGGCTGTGCTTACTAGTTTCAAGAAAACATATTTTTCTTCTTTTTAACAACCTAAGTGGAACATGTCATTTGTTGTACAAATCACAATGATTGTGCAAAGCCAAAAGTGTCCCGTGGGAGTGTCTGGCATGATGGGAGAACAGTGCAGGGTGATGGATGGAGCAGAGACGGCGGGTCTGAGATGCCACAAGGAGAATTCCTGCTGTGCTGATTCTGCAGTGAGACCTGAGGCCAGTGACCTAAGTTCTTCTGGCTCAATTTCTCCTTAACGACAGAACCTACCCCACGAGCCAAACAAGATCTCCTGCGTAAGAGGCCTAGTGGACCACCTGGCCCTTGTAGGTACTCAGGGTAAGTGTCCACCATGAACACAGTGTGTGTTTTACAAGGAACACAGGTCTAAAATTGAACTCAGGAGGAGATACACAAGAGCTTGTGGCTGACATAAAACTGTCTCTTCTGAGCTTCCACACAGCCACAAATAGTCAGAAGTTAGACTGGAGTGTAGGTGCGATGTATATGCCAACGGGGGCATATACATATCTAACATTTTATGTGCCAACAATCTATAGGTCCCTTGAGCAGGTGAAACTAGTACCCAGATCTTCAACATTATGTGAAAAAATAAAATGACGACAAAGGATTCAATTTCCCCAACTTTTTAAAAGACCTAAATCAAAGAAGGCAAGTTGCCTTCTGCCTCGTTGGGCAGGAGATCCCAGTTTTTAATGATGTAAACAATGGTCAGGACAGTTCTGCTAATTAGGTAACATGAAAGCTCTGAGTTGGATGCATTAACTTCTGTGCACAAGCAGCCAGGAGAGAGGAGCAGGGAGCAGGGGGAAGGAGAAACGTTTATTGAGCCCCAGCCACCTCCAAGGCCTGGGCTAGGTTCTGCAGGGTACTAACACCTCTAGGGCCTCCCCCCAACCCCCACCTCCTGCTCTTAGTCACTCTCTACTGGCATTTCTGGGGGCGTGTGAGAGGGGAAGAAAGGGAAGAGAAGGGAGTAAGGTGAATTACGACCGGAGGGCAAAGGAAGTGCTGATAATGCGTATGTGGGGAATGAACGCATGGGGAGGATGAACGGGGGCATGAGAGGGGAAATGGAGGCAAGAAGAAAGTGAGTCTCATTTTTGCTGGTCCAAGACTGTTGACGGTTCCATTCCCTCTCTAGACCTCTTTTTGAAAGTCAACCAAGGGCAGGGTGGGAAACGTTTTCACAGCACGGTCGAGACCCACGAGGAAGCTTTCCTTCTCAAGCCTGATAGAGGCCTTTGTAAGCAGCCCTCCCAAATCTGGTCTGCCAGTCTCCCCAGCAGACACCGTATACTGACAGTGTCCCCCAAACACAGGGAGGCCCAGGAGGAGGCCTAGGACTGCAGGTTTGCACATGGTCAGCTGTGGGAAAGTGTATGAAGCTGGCTCTCCCATCCTGTGTAGGCCCCCCAACACCACTGGTCTTGTGCCATTCCTTAATTGCCAATGGGTTGTACTCAGCTTTACTGTTTTCACTCAGCTGTTCCTGCGTAGCTGGTTCCCCCAGGAAGAAGAATCTGTGGGTGAGGACAGCAGCCACAGGAGTGGCTACTGACAGCTCACGGCCTTGGTGTGTGGGGCTTAAAACCTGCTCTCTTCAGAGATGAAATGGCTCTGGAGTTCTCTAAGCCTCAGTTGTCATCTTTCTGACTGATATGTCTAATCCTTAATTTTTGCATATCCTATAAAGGTTCATTTGCATTTGGAAGCATGTCCAACGCCAAGATGATCAAACATATTTTAAGGATGGAAAAGAAGTATTTGTAGAGAAAGATAAAATGAATCAGGATTATTTTGTCTAAAAAATGTTGATAAGTAATCCAACAATTATCTTCCTTATCCAGAAGCTGGCAGTGAGCTAGCTGTCATTTCCAAAGAAGACAGAAAAAGATCAAGTGGTCCAACAGCGGAAAAGTCAGAACTTTCTAACCAGAAGGCTGCACACACTCACGTGGGCACTGGCTGCTCACCTGGCTGACTGCAGAGTAACTCTATGCTGTTAGGAAGGTGCAGTCCAGGACTGTGCTGCTTTATAATGAGCATCCCTGCACAGCTGAGGGGTCCTGACGGAGGGGCAAGCACAGGCTTGATGTATGGATGATGCCATCTGAATAGATATAGTTAAATATATAAAACTATTATCTACCTGGAGGCGGGAATGCTTATTAAGGTACAAAGGAAATTCCAGGAAATAATAAGAAAGCCTGATCTCAGACAGGGTGTGACAAGAAATAGAAACAAAATGAGCCTTTAATTCTGGCTATTGCTAGACTCAAATCAAGCTGTTCCTCCTCTGGTGCCTCAGTTTCCCTTTCCGTAGAGTTGTAGTACTAATGCTGGCCACTGGCCATATGGCTCAAAGGTTCTAAGTCATCAGTCCTCCCAGCGCTTGAACACAGCTCTCCTTTGCGTTCACAGCTTGCCTGAATGAGCTTACCAACAAAATCCCATAATTGCTGTGCTGGACTGTGCTGGCAGCTGCAATCTGCAGACATTCTGAGGTTAGCTCTATTTTGAGGAACATTAGCTCCTCACTGACTGTCTCCACCCACAAAGTACAATTTTGCCTGGTCTAACCACAATATGAATGATTAATGGGTTAAATCATTCTCTACAGGTACCTGCATGGCATTCAGACTGCATTCACTGTTAAATCGGACACACTGCATTGAGCATTTAGAAAGAAAAGCTGTAGAGAAAAGGCACAGACACCTCAAGGTAAGAATGGAAAGTCTGGAAACCCAGTCCCGACACCAGTGACCAGAGAGATGAGTGGTCAACACAGAGCGGGGAAGAAACAAGAGGCACGTACGTGTGGGTCTCAGGTCGGAGGCCTCGGAACCAGCACCTTCCCCAGGAAAGCCGAGAGGCTCTGCCACGTCTGTGTCAGGAGGAGGGTAGGGTGGGGGCGGGGGGAGCACTAACTGGGGGGGTCCCCGAGCAGTGCCTCTGGGAGGCTTTTGTGGCACCTGCCGTCCAACACCTACATGGAATCAATGGGGGTTACTTCAGAAGGTTAAGCCCAGTGCCTCTGCCCTCTAACAGAAGACATACCCTCACTCACCTGCACCAAGACCAACCTCAAGCACCAAATCCAGCCTCAGGGCACCAATCCAACCTCACTCAGCACCAAATGCAGCCACACCTGACACCAAGTCCAACCACACCCAGCACCAAATCTACCCAACTCAGCATCAAATGCAACCTCACTCAGCACCAAATCCAACCTCACTTGGCACCAAATGCAGCCACACCCAGCACCAAATCCAGCCTCACTCATGCTCTACCATTTTACATATATAGTATCCTATCCTTGGGCCGATCTGGAAATATCCGCCCATTGCAATTTGTTTTTGGCAGGCACAACTATTTTTAAATGCTGGGATTGAAACTATTCTGAAAGTCCCCCTAAACCGTTCTGTCACGTTAAAAGGAATTCCTTTTCTTCATGTTAGTCTTTTTTACGTCCACAGATATGCTTTTTGCTTACTCTAGTTCCTTATATCTATTACCTATTACGGACTGAATAACCGCTAATTTAGCTTACCTCTTTAAGCCCCTTTAGACTATCAACCTCTTCCACTGTTTAGGGTAATAGCTTTCAAATTTTGTTCTGAAGAGGATCTTGAGCTGCATTAAGTGTTAGGGGTGGTGTCTCCACTCTATTCTACCTCTCAGACCATCGGAGCAGCCCCTCCTGGTCTGTTTACATGTGGGGGATCCATTTATAATTTTGTGTATGAAAATGGCTTTCTTCCGCTAATAAAATTTTTGACAGTCAATGACTCAGTATAATAAATGATATGAATTACTAGTGTTATAAGTCATGCTTACTATTATTTCTTTTAAAAATATTTTCTTCAAGCTTAAAAGTTTCGAATCTTCTAGTAACTAATATATTCTACACTTCATGCCCTTCGGATTTTTAATAAAAATATTAAGAAACATCATTTCTTCATCGAGAGATATCTATTTATTCCTTCTCTTGGTTACAGTTCTTTAGATGTGTAAAAATATTAATTTCCCCATATCTACACAGCATTTCTTCCCTTGAAGTGCAAATAAGCCAACAGCCCTCTGGAAGAGTGTGGTTTGTCTGGCCCAGGTAAGTACACTACATGAGAAGGCATCCCCAAGGGCAACGCATGGGGAGGGAGAACAGGCTCTCTACTGGAAGGCTTGTTTTTGTTTACCAAGAAATCTGGGTCAAGACTCAAATCCAGCTAGCTACAATACCATTTTAGCGCAAGTTTCAAAAAAATTGTTTTCTTTGTATGTCCAGGTGTCTGAATAGAAAAAGATGCTCAACATTTTTTTGTGTGGACAAGGTTACTTTATTTTATTTTTTCACCTAAAGCCTAGACATCGGTTAAAAGTTCTGCTTATGGTGGTGTTAGTGTACTTTCAATTCACAGGGATTTCTGATGAGGATGGAAGTCTGACTTGAAATGACCAGCAAGACCTTCTCTACTATCCCCCATCCTCAAAAGATACTCAGTTATTTTCACAGGGAGGGAGCTTCTGTCCTCCTTCTCAATCCTCACAAACAAAAGTTTATGGACTACAGAGAGAGACTCATAGCGAATTACTACCATCCACATCTCTCCCTTGCAACAAGTTCCGTACTGAGGAAATTGTCCCTGCAGTTTTCAATTTTAAAACTCCTATCTCCCTTCTCCTGCCATACCCGTGGGGACCAGCTGACTGCCCACAGCCAGGACAGGTCCTTCAAGCTCGACAGATGCAAGGCCTTGGTCCTTCAAGGCTGAATCAGGAGGTCGTCCTTCCAAAGGTTGAAATGGGCTGTCCGCCTGGAGGCTGGCACAACTCAACCACATCCACACTACAACTTAAAGTGGATGCTTCTTAGATTTTCAACAAGGAACTCTAAATCTAAGGGTTGTCATCCCCTTACAGAAAGAGTGGGAGAGAGCGTGGAAGGAAGAATGGGGTCTCATCGTGAAAAAGGAGACAACTAGGTTTATTTTAATGAGCTCCTGATCATGTTTTCTTTAAATCTGATAGTATCTTCCTTTGGGAAGGAACATGAACTGACATGAAATACAGGCTATTGCTCCTTAGGGTAATTGATTCCCAGGCTGTGAAATACTAAGACCTTAAAAGTGATGTATTGACTAGGGAAAAAAACACTGACGAACAGCCAAGTAGCTCATATTAAAGTTTCAGACGCCAACAACACAGCCACTCATCTTTGGGAGTCTCTTCTCTAGGTCATAGGCAAAACGCGAGGGTGCTGAGGGGACTAAATGGCTCTGGAGTGGCCGTCTGCTGGCTTCTGTGACAAGTCTGAAGCACTTGCATCCCAGGGGTTCGCAGGCAACCCCCATTCGTCAAAAGCCATTTCTGTTCTACATAAATGGAATAATAAACACTGAATGATTTTAAAATAAAATTCACCATCGCTGGCTCGTGGATCTGGAGTCCTCTGTCACTTCTCTCTACTTCACCTGTACCTGAGGGAGTGGAATATAACTATCTAACAGGTCTCTGCTCACAGACATTATGATTCCACCCTATTTCCTTTGAGTTCTGTTTTTCTCCAAGACTATCAGGGGCTTCGATACATATATAAAAAGTATGTAAGTGGACTTAATTTCAACAAGATGGTCAAAAAATTACTGAACTGTTGTCAGTTGATCTATAAATCCCCTGGGGTCTAGATGTGTTTCAAATGCCAGAGGTCTTTTAAAACAGCATCCACGGACATCATCCTAAGAGCCTATCTTTCTCCATCAGAGACACACATCACACACCCACACTCGCTCACTCTCCATCCTTCACCTTCTCTCAGCGTCTTCAGCCATTCTCCAACTTCCCAGCATCCCCACCTTCTGAATGCCCACATCACGCCCAGGACATATACTGGTAACATATTCAGTGAACTTGCAACTGTTTATTTCCAGACTTTCTTTCTTTAGCATATTTCCCGTGTTAATGGCATTATGGAGGAGGCCACTGCAAGAGTTATTAGCAGTGCTAACGTTCCACACGAGAGCAAGCCCCCCAGAGGCGTGCAGACAGCAGGTGTGAGTCACTCACCCGTTGCACTCTTCCTGTTCTCCTCCCTGTCCTCAGTGCGGGTGGGAACCAGGGGGCTTGGCGGTGGGGGCTGTGGCGGAGGGGGAGCTGGCGCCCGCCTCTTCTTCTTCTGTAACTCAATCTGTGACCCCAGAGATGTCTATGAAGCACAAAGAAGGACAAGCAGTCAGTGTTAGGGTGGTTCTGTTGGGGAGTGGTATGCATGTGGGACACAACTTGGAGAAGCCAGCTCCACGTGACTGGTGCTCTAAGCTGGGCTGTCAGATTGCCAGGGCAGGGGGTGGAGCCGTGGTGTGAGGGCTTGTTGTAGCGCCCAGGAGTGGCCCTGAGGTGGCCCAGGGATGTTTACAGATACCCCCAAGACACCGCTGAGTGGGAGGGGCTGGGGCTTTGCCCCATACTTCCTCGGGACTCCAGGCAAATCAGGAGACTTGACAACTTCCCCTCAGCATAAATATGAGAAAGGGGATCCTCAGCCCTTAATTAAATGCAAAAGAGAACTATTCCTTCAGGAAGGTTTATCAAGGGCTACCATGTGACCATGCAGAGGAAGAACAGAAGGGAGCACCTCAGGCCTCACCCTTGCCCCTGGACCTGGAATTGCAATGAGGTTTGTCAGTATATGAGATATTAGGTCAGCATATGGGACGTGAAGCTCCCATCCACGCAGAAACCCAGCTTCCCTCAAAGACTTTAACAACGGCAAAACAACAGCTTCTAAAGGCAGCCTGTCAATACTGGGCAGGTCTAATGGTGGAAAGTGAAGCCTGTTTCGTCCGTAAGACAGTCTTCACTGACTCCCGTTCTTTGTTTCTGAGAGACTGCATAATTCTCCTCCTCATTACAGATACAGTTTTCATCCCTTCACTCTCGCTGGTGAAAATGTGTTTCAAGAGCACTGTGTTAGTGAGGAGTATGTGCAAATAATGAAAACAATGACTGCCCTCTGGAAGCTTAAAGCCAGGGCTCGCACTTCCAGTCCAGAGAGCCCTTGATCATGGTGGGGTTCAGCCTGCAGGGGTGTCTACCCTCCCCCAACCCTGCCGCTGTGGATTCTGGGGTTCTCCTCTTGGTGTTTGGTTTATGAATTGAGCTCACAGCACACGACTCCACCTCCCAAGGAGGGCAGCTTCCTCTTCTGGGATGGACCTGGTGTTTTATGTAGGGGTGTGTGTGTGTTTGTGTGTGTGTGTGTGTGTGTGTGTGTGTGTGTGTGTAAAAGTCTCCTTTTTAATTTTATCAGTAATACACATTTAATGCAAAAAACTATATGAGCAAAAGGAAGAAAAAAATCACTTTATTAACACTCAGAATAAACTACTAACAATTGGCATATTTTTGTAATCTTTATTTTTTCTTTTAAAAGTCATATTTTTTCTATCCTTCTACTACAATGTATTATAACCACCCCCTACACCTTTAAAATTCTAGAATGTATTTTATGTAAAACATGAGCATAAGAAAAAGTCAGATAGTCCCATAAAGCTTAGCGTCTCACCAGCAGATCCTGTCCACTGCCCCGACTCCCGCAGCAACCACTTCAAACTCTTTTCCCCTTGGCGTTTACTCTCTTTTTCTAAATAATAAGATTATTCTGCTATTTCTTGATTTTCCCATCTTAGATATTGGCTTCCTACTCCAGAAGATGAGAGTTTAGCTCTTCGAGACACACACACACACCGCCCCCCCCACAGTTGTCCTTCCTGATCTTTCCAAAAATTATAGCATGAGATTTAAATTAATATTCATTATTTAGTTATACATATATAATTATAATAGATATAATTATGCAAAATAGAAATTTTCTTCAAGAGGAGTTTTCTCTAGCTGAGATGTATAAAATGTATATGCTGACATTTTCTTTCTAGATTATTCTTTTTGTCTTCTCTGAATTTGATAATTGATTTGTTGTCTAACTTTTTTCCTGAGTTTTCTGGAAATTCCCTTTTCCTCTCTTTACTTTTTAATCCCTTGTTTCCTGGATCCTATGCCTTTTTTAAAATTCCCTTCTTCATTTTAGTGGGCACAGTCGCTATCAGCTTTCTGAGACAAAATGTGCATGAGGTAAATTTTTGAGACCTTGTGAAGGAAGTAAAATTGTATTAAAAATTAAAAAGTTACTACCTTAGAGACAGGCACCTCCACGCCCTAAGGATTCCTGGTATAGGA